GCCACCACCACCACGGGACCACTGCTGGCACGATGGTGGCCAGTTCTGCTATTCCTGGGAGGAGGATGCTGAGCTCCGGCTCTCCCTCGAGCCCACAGCGACTCCTGGCACCGAGTGCTACAGAGTCCACTGGACACCACTGCGCCCTGACGTGACGTTGAAGGTAATGGAGGTAATGGTTGGGTGGTCTGGTTCTATGTCCTGCTCTGAATCATTCGGGGTCCAACAAAAAGCAGTGAGGGTCCGGCCTGACCACAATTCCCAGCTTCCAGCTGCTAGGCAGGGAAAGCCTTCTGGAAGCATCATGCCCTGATGCTGAGCACCCCAAACCTCAACGAGCAGTGACCCTCAGGGTGGGAGAATTGTGTTTATATGGAGACAGAGTAAATAACCACTGGAGATGACAATGCTGACAATGCTGGCGAGAACCTCGGGAAGGTCTATTCCAACACAGACACAATGGGCAGCTCCCATGGGATGGGAATAATCCATTTATGGGGTCTTTATTTTTGGTATCATTCCTGATTTTCTGCCTCAGTTAAATAAAAGCAGACTGCCCTTAGGGAGGGGAAGGAGAAACCCTGCTGGAGTGGAGTGTTGGGTTGTGGGGAGCCCTCAGGACAGGGAGGGAAGCAGGATGGGGTCCTGTGGGATGGGGGATTGTTCCACTTTAGCCATAAATCACCTGTTGACACCTTTTTGGGTGGGTGGAAGGTGATGTGTGTGGGGCTGAGTCTCCTTCACTGACATTCATGTGGAGTGGCTGAGGGGGTGAGTGAGACAGAAGAGGCTTTTTCCCACTTTCTAAAAAAACCAAACCGTTGGAAAATATGATCCAGCGAAATCTGAGTTAAGAACAGACTGTTTTCCCTCCTTCCCAGCTGGTGTAGCGAGTTCAGCTGACACCTGGTACAGCTATTCTGAGCCTCCAGGGTTTCCACTTTAATAATTTACATCTCTCCCCACCCTTTGAGAGACTTAACCTCTCTGTGCCCCGAGATCAGGACTCCAGGAGGCTCCGAAGCCTTGGGATTGGGAATAAACATGGGTTGGGTTGAGTGGGGCAGTCTCAGGGTCCCCTCTGCCTGCCCCAGCTTCCCTCCACGGCCCCAAATCCCTAAGGTTTCAGGGAAGCCTGTCCTGCCTGGGAAGTCACGCGGACGCTAAGTCCTGCTGATCCCTTGATTTGGCAGAAGGTAGAAGGTTTTAAAGGCTTTGAAGGGAAAATTGATGGTTTCTGGCAGGAGGCAGGTCAAGGATGGGGATGTCCCCAGGCCCAGGGCCCTGTCAGCCCTATAAGAAATGCCCCAAATCCCCAAACTGAGTCTTGTTGAGGGAAGTTCTTATCAGCCTTCAGGGAATAGGGAAGCTTTGCCTTGGGAGAGAGCACGTGTCACTCCAGGGATGCTGCAGTGACATTGAGGGGAAAAAAAACCAACCCAAAAAACCTCAACCAAACAACAAAACCCAACCAACTAAACCAACAAACCCACAGAGATTTTCCACATGGTTTCTGAGTGCCCCCATCGCATTTTAAAGCCATTTTCTTGAATTCCCCTGTGTTGTCACTCCTGTCCTGCATCCACAGACACCTGCAGAGCCTCTCGACTCAAACCGTTTCAGCACCTTTTCACCTGCAACCCAGAGACATTTGATAACTGATTGTCATGGCAGTTTGATTTTATTTAAGCTCATCTAGCTAAAACCAGCAGGATTTTGTAGAATCATAAAATTTTAGAAGTTGGAATGGACCTTACAGATCATCTAGTCCCAACCCCCTGCCGTGGGCAGGGGGGCCTCCCCACTAGACCCGGATGCTCCAAGCCTCATCCAGCCTGGTTTTGAACACTGCCAGGGTTAGGGCAGCCACCACTTCCCTGGGCAAGATTGGGGAAGATGTCTTGGTTTTCCTTTGCTTTTTAAAGAAAACCATAATTATACGCTGTGGAGTTTCTATTCCCACGTGGGACAACTTGCACTTTTGACTCTTGCCACAAGTTTTTCCCTCTTCCTACTCTTACACCATTTCATATAATCATGAAATTATTTAGATTGGATGGGAATTTAAAGCCCGTTCAGTTCCACCTCACTGCCATGGGCAGGGACACCTTTCACTAGCCCAGGTTGCTGCTAGCCCCATCCAGTCTGTCCTTCCTCCTCACCCTATGCATTCCTTGCTCTTTGATGCTCCTTTCCTGGCTCCAGGATTGCTTTTCCATGGTCAATGTCTCCTGGTATGGTGGACCAAGCATCCATGCCCAGCGCTGGCCGCTCAACAGCGCCGAGAGCCCTGCACAGCCCTTCGTCAGTGGTGACCTCAGCACCAACCCCGATGGCTTCGGTCCTGTCCTGGAGAGATACTTCCTGGGATCAACAGGTAATCACATCCTTCCCTGTCCAGTGTCCTTTGGCTTCCATCCCTGTGCTCCTCCATCCTCATCTCTAGAGCAACAGATTTAAGAGCAGCGTAGATGTCTCTGAGATTAAAATATCCTACAAAAGTAATGACAACTGGCAGCAAGATACAAGGGATGGATCCCACACTGCCTCATCCCTGTGGGAAAGGCCGTAATATTGAACCTGAGTGCCTGAGGATGGCATGGCAAAAGTCACCCCAGGGACATCCCATGCTCTCTGTGTGTCTCTCATTGCTGCATCCTTCAGCTCCACTCGAGCAGCTTCATGGCTCCCTGACTCTGCTGTGAGATGCTGGATATGGGCAGGAGTTCAGCTGCTGTTATTGTTTTCGGGTGCATATGGGGATTATTCTGCAGAACACCCAATTTCAGGTATTCCCCAAAATCAACCAATTGACCCACAGCTCCCTGCACTGCTGAAGCCACTGAATGCTGAGCAAAAAGGCAGGAAAAGGAGAAATCCAACCCTTGAAAGGCATTTTGAAGACTACAAAGGAACAGCAGAAACAGAGTGGGGATGGCTGGCACGGCTGGATCTGTGGTGGGATCAGTCCAGGAGGTCTTGGGCCCCATCAGGCTCTGCCTCACGCATCCCTGTGGCCATCAGTGCCTGGACTGGGAGACATCATTTTCCCCTTTCCTCCCCAAAGGAGTGACGGTGACTGTGGCACCCGATGAGCCACTGCTCCTCTCTCTGGAGGGCAACAGGCAGTTCTGCCTGGAGACGCCGTCAGGCCAAGCCGTGCCCCTTCAATATCTCCTCTGCATCAGCTCCGACGTGGCAGCTGCCCATCGGCACACAGGCAGCTCCCCAGCACGGCCAGAGCGGGAGCTGCCAGACACCACACTCCTGGGGTAAGCACTCCCTCCTCCTGGAGACGGGAATGCTTCCAAGTGTCCTGGTCGCTGTCCCAGGCA